ATATATATAACCTAATTGTGCTTCCCTTGAATTGTCACGGAAAAGTTGCTAGTATTCTGATATTTTATATAATTCCGTGTTAAATTAGAAAACCTTTTTGCTAAATGTTCACTGATTTAAAGCCAGTAAAGGATAACAGAGACAGATTAAATACAAAACTTAATTGTGTAAAACACAATGCTACCGAAACAATGTTACTATAAGCTACCGAAACATGTAGAGTCTTGTTAAGTTTGGCCGTCGGCCAAATATAATTTTTTTTATTCTGCATTTCAAACGTTGATCTTGTTTTTAATTTTACAATGATAATGTTGTAACAAAAAGTAATATAGATGTTCAAAATATTATAACTTTTCAAATAATCGTAGTAAACTTAGGGATATGAAATACATAATGTTTGTTTATTTGTGGTTAAGCACAATGTGCTATCTTGTGTTATTCACACCACGGGTATCGAAACCCAATTTCTAGCGTTATAAGTCCGCGGACTTACTGCTATGCCACTGGAGAGCTAAATTCTTAATGAGCATAACGGTGAAAAGTGCTAACAAACATAAAAAGATATTGAAGAAGCAAGAAAAAAACCAGAAAGTGATTGATATAATACATTCTCTCAAAAAAAAAGAGTGAAAATTTGAAGTTACACCTAATAAATTTGCAAAATGTCTACGCACATAAAGAGTACTATATGAAATATTTCAACAAAACGAAACAGTCCACATAATGTTAAACTGAAAAGTGACAAAAATCCCTGTCTTTTATCATATGTTTGTTTGTTTGTTATGGATTTTGGGCAAAGCTACACGAGGGCTATCTGCGATAGCCGTCCCTAATTTAGCAGTGTAAAACTAGAGGGAAGGCAGCTAGTCATCACCACCCACCGCCAACACTTGGGCTACTCTTTTCCCACCGAATAGTGTAATTGATCGTCACTTTATAACGACCCCACGGCTGAAAGAGCGAGCATGTTTGGTGTGTCGGGGATTAGAACCCGCAGATTGCGAATCGAGCGCCCAACCACCTGGCCATGCGGGCCCTTTATTACATGAAATATAGTTAATGAAAATGTGTAAATCACGAAACTGAGTTTAACTCACAACGATAAATAAATACTTGTTAAGCTGGATAAGTCTTTATAAAGGTCTATATAAAATTTATAATTCTAGAAATTCAAAGCTGTCTTTATTTTTAAGGACAAAACAACACAATGGGCTATCCCTGCTCTGCCCATCACGGGTATCGAAACCCAATTTTTAGTGTTATAAATCTCCGAACTTACCATTGAGCCACTGAGGCCCCTCTCGCTGCGTAAGTGGTAAGTTTACAAACTTTTAGGATTAAAATCCGTGGTTCTATTCACATCCGCAGACAAACCGAATATAGCCTATTGTATGGCTTTGTGATAAGAAAAACAACAACTTCTACTCTGTCCTCAAAGTGCATGAAAGTGTAAGAAATTATTTGTTTTGAAAAGCAGGCCTTGTTATCGTAATTCATATTACGCACTAGAATAAACAAAAAAAGTGTTACTTATTATTAAAAGTACATTTGTGTCTCTTAACATAAACAAATATAACCTCGGCAAATGATTTAATAAACAAATAGTTGATAAGGTAAATACAATTTACCATAATCGCTTTGTGGTAATAAATATCAGACAAAATCATCGTCGTTCAAATGTGAGTGAATTATATAGGCGTTTGAATTCTTATTTTACAATGACTCAAACAATTATAAGATATAAGAATTTTAGAAGCACTTAATGTTAAGCACTTAAAATTTATGGTTAAATTTATGTGGTTATAGGCACGGCGAATTTGATGATAAACTAGTTAAGCCTATTAATATATTTTTGCCTGCACGATATCATATCACATCTAATGTCTTTAAGTTAATATTCTAATTTGATTTCATACATTATCAATCTGCTCTATTATAATATATATGTATATATAAGGAATTAATAAGTTTGTAAGATGTTTATTAATTACGAGTACCTGTGCGACATTTAAAAATTTGTTTTAAAAATGATAAAAAAATTACCCATAACAATAAAAGTTATAACTTCTTCTTAACAACTTAAATCTTCACAGCCTGAGCCGTTCGTGGCTAACCACTAGGTTAGTATTTCAGGCTGCAAATCGAAGTGTTTAAAGTTTTACAAGTGATGCCACTGAACAAACTCCACACTTTCAGCTGTGGGTGTGTTTGAGTCACCCCCATTATTTGCTTCAAAGACCCTTACAAAGCTTCTTTGACGAATGCTGCTAGCTGTTTGTTTGTGTAGTAAATACTGAACAATGTTATTATATAACTACTTGAACTAGCTGTCCCTAATTTTGAAGTGATAAATTAGAGAGAAAGCAGCTAATCAACATCACCCACCGCCAAGTCTTGGGCTACTCTTCATTAACGACTAGTGGGATTGACCGACACATTAGAATGCTCCCACAGTTGAAAGGACGAGCATGTAATACAAAATACGGATATTTCGATAGTGTCACATTTAAGTTGAAGCTTTTATTGAAATTATAGACTTATCGTTGGTTCTAAAGTAGAGGTGAAACATATTAATATATTTTTGTCACATTATATAAGTTATAGTATACGGTATGTTTGTTGTGCATGTCGCCGTATCGATGAATCTGTTGTGAAGTGTTATGTGATATCGATAGTAACCTATGTTTCCTTGTGTTGTTTTAGGTGTTGGTGTTCAACAACTTTCTAAGACTCGCCACTATCACAAGACCCTTTCATTTAAGCGGAACGTTCTTGATGGCGATATCCAGCCTTATTTTGACAGTGGCACCTTAACTAATATCACCACAACGGCAGGAAAAACAGCGTATCTTCCATGTCGAGTCAGACACCTTGGCGATCGTACCGTAAGAAGTGTTTCTTCTCTCTGCTATTGTTTAATATTATACGCTTTTTATTTCTAACTGCTTATAGCCTAAATCAAACAATGCCTAATAAACAGAAAGAAGTATAGACAAAATATATGAAACACAGTTAAATTAATTCAGTTTTCCTCACCTGGGCTGTACCGCCCCTAATGGGCATTTTTAAAATTCAGGGGGCAGTAAACTTTGAGGGGGGCGGCAGGAGGCCGACAGAAAAAATTTTGAGGGTTTCAAAGTTATAAATGTTAAAATTAAACCGTAAGAAATAGGTATTTTTCTTTCAACACGTTTGAGCAAAAATCATTGTGTGGGTAAGTTTGTGGCAAGCAACGCTCACCCCAATGCTTCACGTCCATTCATTGAGCATATCTCTTCTGGAGCCACTTTCAGAACTTCTATTAAAAATTTATTTGAAGGGAGCATGAGCGCTCATTGTTTGCTGAAGGGGAGGATAAGGTTGGGAATTCCAATTTGAACTATATAAGCTCAACTGACGAAAATAAAGCTAATATTTTTAAACCAAGGATATCTTGAAACTCATTGTATTCAATAGTGTAACGCCAAATGATTATAGATGTGACCAATGACAAATGTTTACAGGGAAGCACGATTCCTCAGATTTGTCGTGCTGAGTTGATAGTAATCTCTGTCAATCCGAACTCTTCTCTTAAATTAAAAACAAAACTTATCAATATAACCCACTTTTATTTCGTCTTTATATTCTGAAGATAATGCGGTGAGTGTTAAATAGTACTTTGGACAATTATCCAAGCACAAAACCTTAAAATCGTTTCGTAATATTTGCGAAGTGTTAGAGTCAGACGTAAATGTGAGATCCATTATTAAGTTCCTTCGATTTTACACCTATCCCTTTTTACTTGCTAAGGCTCGTTTTAAGCAAGAGGTATCACATAAATATTTATTTATTTTTTATTGTTCTATATTTCTAGTTATTTGAAAAATCTTGTTCAGTATCTAGGCTAGAGCTATGAAAGTCAAAAATTATCTCGAACGCTAAATTTAGACATTTAACTCAATGCTTTGGTGTTAAAATGTTTAAACTGACAAATCGAGGATTATCATAACCCTAATAAATGTAACGAAAATTAATTAGAAACTTGACTCATCACCCTTAATGAATTCCATGCGGATTTTAAAATCAAAATAGTTTAGAAAATATAATTAAAATCTGCAGTTAGAAATTTTAATACAGTAGCATTTTGTATTTGATGCTGCATAATAAACACCATTTCAAATGGTAGAATATTTTGCGCCTACATGTTAAGACTAGCTACTGAGTTTTGGTATTGAAAAAAGGTCGCCTAGAAAGTGAATTTTACAAGATCAACTAGTCAAAGAAGTAGTTTTGTTTAATACCACTAAAGATACCATTGGACAAAATAGGAATAGTGTAATGAAATATTTCATCACATTTTACAGATATAGGGAGCAATACGTGTGTTTATGGGGTTAAATATGGCAGTGTTAAAAGTGCATTTACATAAAGCAGATGGAGACAACAGGGTTCGGGAACATGTTTCGTAGGAAACGTTCAATTAACAGATGATAATTTAGGCCCATTCTGTTGCAGTGGAGCTCAAATATGACCAAACTCAGGGGAAAAAAGACAAATGAAAATATGGTGATGTAATCTGATCATTAAATAGCTTATTTTCACATTAATTTCATTTGACTTTTTTCTCCTGATCTTCACCAGACATTTCCAACTCTTTATCTTCAACTACTGAATTCACCTTAGAATCTTTATATGTTTAGAATTAGCCATTATTTTGTAACAACAACTCAATTAACATTGAGGAAATCGCAGACCTGTCAAAATGTATTAGGGGTCTAAAGTGAGTGCTGGTCCCTCTTTATTGGTGATGAGGTTCCTCCCCTCCCTTTTCCAACGCCTAAAACTAGTGAGAATTCATCCTTTGTGTACAAATAAAAACAAATATACTTTTTATTTAAAGGATTAATATAATTTTTGGTCACCTTAATAGGTCTAATTTATTTTTAATTTGCTTACACGCTCTCAGCCTTAGCTTTATTAAAAAACTTTCTTTTGTCACATGAGTGTTTATTACAGGAAACAATAGACATAAAACGTGCAAAAAAGGTATGTATGAAAAATTGAATGTTCTGTATTTTATTCTATTAACCACACCAAAAAATATCTACATCTCGTTATGTATCAATTATACAAGCATGTAACTAATGGAAAATAATCATGTTCCTTTGACGTAAGTAATTGTTTGTTTGTTTGTTATGGATTTCGCGCAAAGCTACACCAGGGCTATCTGCGCTAGTCATCCATAATTTAGCAGTTTAAGACTAGAGAGAAGGCAGCTAGTCATCACTACCCACCGCCAACTCTTGGGCTACTCTTTTACCAACGAATAATGGGATTGACCATCACATTATAACGTCCCCACGGCTGAAAGGGCGAGCATGTTTGGTGTGACGGGGATACGAACCCGCGACCCACAGATTGCGAGTCAAGCGCCCTAACCAACTGGCCGTGTAACTCAGAATATTTTAAACAGATGCGTTTTGAATAAAGAATATTATATTTTGACCTGTTCTCTTTAAATAACTGTTGATTCAGGCTAAACGCGCTTTACCAAAACCAACTTACTAGGGGAAAAGTACTTATTGAGATCCCCTTAGGTGTTTACGATTGTAAGTTTTTGGTATATTATATTGAGATAACTTGCTTTGTAAATTATCTTATCATAAGTTACAGATTTTAGAGCATTTTTAATTAGAGCGGCCTAAGCGGCCAGATCAGAAACGTGGTTCACTCATAATGTTCCGCAACATTAAATTGCTAATCAGAGGGAGAGCGAGAAGTAAGCATCATCTGAGGACTATACGACTACAGCAAGATTCACTGTCACGTTTATAACGCGTCTACAGTTTAAAGTGCGCATTGGGTTCATTCGCATGTTATGGGTTCGAAATTTGGACCATTGGCTATTCAGGCTGCCATAATAACCAGTAGGCCACGCTCGAACCTTATTTATTTGATATTAAAATGATGTATTTGAGCGTCTTCAAGAAAAATATATTAAAGTGTTTTTTTTGTTTTTTTACCACAGTTATCATTTACAAATATGCAATAAAGTATATTTACTTCTTGAATTTTCGGTACAGTATAATTAATTATAGAAATATATTTTTCAATAGAGCAACATTTTGTATTACATATATTTTTTTTATTTGATCTATTGTCAAATGTGAAATTTATGATCGATTCAAAAATACTAGCTGAGTAAAATATGTTTTCTAACTAGAAACTTAAAATAGTTAAAACAATATATAGATGTTTGTATTTCAACAATAGACGCATAGACCTTTTAACAATAGACCCTTTTAAAACTGAGTTTAACAGTAAATATCTTTCATCATTGAAATGAGTTTAATGTTATGGATGACATATTTAAACAAAATAATATCAGAATTTGATTGGAATTTAGTAAAATAAACTTTTACATGGAGTATTACAGATATTCGTACTTACTTTAAGTCACACGTGTCTGTCAGGTAAGGACCGGTAATTAAATAAATCTTTCGTGTGTTTTTTTGTTCGGTACTGAGGTAAAAAAAAACAAAGGTAAAAAAGTAAACAAGATAAATTTTATTTTTCTTAAGTATTACTTTTAATTACACATATATTAAAACCTAGTTGTTGTTGTTTTCGCCTATTCATATTTACATAAGGTTGGGCTCAGGCAGTATAATAATGTCAAACATACAATAAGCATATTATGTTTTTGAATGGAAATTTTCTTTTTTTTTCTTGGTAATTATTATGATAATTTTATTATTACTTTCAAATTATCTGTCTCTATTGAGCATTGTACATATAATCAATAAACATAAAACAAGTGTTTGATGAGAAGATCATAGAAACACACATTAATTATATTAAATTCTCGATTTAATCATTATTCTGATAACTTATTTTGATGCCTTGTTTTGACAATTTTGATTTGTTTTGAAAATTTATGCTCAGGTGGCTAAGCCTTACAAGCATTAAATAACAAGAGAACGTGTTTCACGTTTATCAATTTTATTATGAAATTTAAGGTCGAATAATTGGATAAAGTATAATATTTATACTCTACGAATTGTAAAAGTAAAAACAACTAGACGTTAGAAACAACTATTGTTCATATTTCTCCCAATTTCTCAAACAATAACAATCGTGACAATACGGCTGCAATGATAAACAAAATGTTACTCCACAAACATTCTTTTAAACTTACTTAAACGAAAGATAATTTGATGTTAGAAACTAGAAGAAATACTACCATAATAAGCATTTACAACGATTGTTTTAATACAAGATGTAGATAATATTGTACAAGATTGTATTTGTCCTTTGGTCTGTAATAGATCGTAAAAACATGACAAAATGCAGAATCAGTAAAATACGAATAGTGTCATTCGAAAGTTAACAAAATCACTACAAGAACTATTTGTTTGTTTATAAATGTCTGTGCAATACAGGTTTTGTCATCGCACAAAATATTAGTAATGACTATATAGAAACATTGCTTTTCAATTATAGAATTTATTAAACAAGTACTTGTTCGTTAACGAACACTCTTCAAGAAACTGGCGATATGTTTTCTTTTCTTTTTCCTTTTTAGGATTTTCGTTCAAAGATCAATAAGGGAAACTGTGCATAGCATTCCTTATTCTTTTACGATCGAAGGATGTGATTTGACGTTCATTATTATAGCGCACCCACGGTTTCAATGCTAGGAGCGCATTCTGTTGTGGCAAGGAACGCGAACCACGAACTTTCGGATTCACAATCTTGGCACGTAAATTATAGGGTGACAACTGACCCATATGCGACATGTATTTCTTAATTTTATCATCTGAGGAGTTTGATTTTGTTGTTAGTTTTAAGCACAAAGCTACAGAATGAGCTATGGGTGTTGTGCCAACTGCAGGTATCGACACAC